GATCTCATGAGGTAACAGGAATAAACTAAGCAATGATAATTAACTTGGGAATAGAAGTAAATCAATTAGCGCAGCGAAGCCTACGGGCACTTTGGAGCCCTGTCATTTAATTCAACACCGATTGACCCTTGCTAAGCTTGAAGGTGAATATCAATATCCGCTCCCTTCACGGCCGGTCGTTTTACGAAGGTAGCGCGCTGTTCGATGCGCCCCGGTACATCCCGGGTCGTTGTCAGCTCGTTACCAGCTGGGTTATGGACGTGCCGGCGGATATTGGCTTCCTCCGCCGGTGGCCTGAACGGTGCGCTAAACCAGTGTTACGGTGCCCCTTCTTGCAACATGACATAACATAACAAAGCAATATTCTAAGTAGGCATTCGCCGTGTGCATTCTCCTATTGGCACGCGCACACGCACACTGGCCTTTGTGATATATTAGCGTTGCAACACTTAGTGCGGCGACGCATGTGTGCCGGACAGCGGCCATACATTCACAGCTGTATGTAAATACTGGAGGAGTGGCCGGGCAGTGTCGGCGATACGGCGGCACCTGTGGACCGCAGACGGCCAAATGGTCCTCTCACGCCGCGCCAAGTCCCCGGAGCCGGCGGCCGGTGCCAGCTCTCTGGTGCGGGGACGGCGGCGCCCGCCGCCCGTGCAGCCAGCGCTCTGTTTGGCACCTGTCAGCAGTGGTGACGTGCATACGGCGTACGACGACGTGTACTCCGATAACAACACCGGCCGGCAGACTCGGCGATGTGTACCCAACATCCGATCATTGGGCCCATGATAATTGGCATAGACGCATAGGGCCGGAGCTGAACTACGTGGACACACGACATGCCCTCATTTATCGCTTTATTGATGAAAGTAGGTATTTTGTAAGCTGTGGAATGTGGATGCAGCCGCAGTTTAGGCAATGATGCCATTTCTGATGATGTCCTTCGAGGTTATAAAGCGCAGGGAATCAGTAGCTCTCTACATATGTTACAGTTAGTATGCGAAATCCGTTAGTTTGCAACGCAACTAGTTTCGTTGCAAACTACCTGACCAGCCAGGTAGTTTGCAACGAAACTAGTTCCGTTGCAAACTAACTGACCGTCCAGTTAGTTTGCAAGCTAACTAGTTAGGATGCAAACTACCTAGGTACGTTGCAAACTACCTAGTTACTTTGCAACGGAACTAGGTGTGTTGCAACGGAACTAGTTGTAATGCGAAATCGACGAGGCAGTGGCTCTATTTGTCGGTTATATTCAACTTGTATGTAAATTTTACCAACGGTTGTTAAAACAAAGCTGTGTTCTTCTAACGGGTGACACTAGACAAGACGGGTGGTCACGTTTAGGATGAAACAGTGAATTAACCGGATTCGACTACATAATGTTACGATTACTGGCGGATCCAGAGGAAGGGGCAGTTCCGGGGGGCATTTTGGGAAATGTTCCCAAGCAGCCCCCGAAATCGACGAAAATTTGTGTGTTTTTTCGAAAAAAAACGAAAACTGAACAACTTTTACAACCAAAAACTTGTTTTAACCCTCGCCCCAGTGGGGGGGGGGGGCATATGCTACCACCCTGTCGCGTTTTTTGCGTGTGAATAAAAAACCGCGGCGCGTAGCGCCGCGCCGCTTGAAGTATCTTTTTGTACATCAATTTTGGACAATGTGTGAAATTTTTTGACCCCAGGTCATGTCAGGTTAGGTCACCAGGTCAAGTTAACGGACCAAGCCTAACAAAAGATGTGCAATCATGTCCAGCCCGCAGTGTTTGTAAGAGAGGCTTAAAACTTGGTGGATTGCATGATGTTATGGGCACCTATAATTTGTATAACTCGGATTTTTTTTGTATCCGTGACCAAAGGTCAGGACAGGACAGTGGCGTGACCTTTCCAATTTAAGCCAATGAAGAAAAATTAAAATGCCTCTAGATCCGTGTGTACGCAAATTTGACTCAAAATGACCTCAAATGACACAGACGACATCAAATTCGAAATGTTTGGCCTAAATGGACCATAAAACATGTGTCACGTGACCGACGGATGATATAATATTTTCGTGACCTGTGATGACCTGACCTTGACCTGAAAATCAAAGTACAAGTTTGGTACCCTCAGAGTATCTAGAGCATCTGTTCACGAGTGTGTGAACCAAAAATGAGCCTGATCTGACTTGTAAGACGGCGGCCAGAGCCCAAAACGTGAACAAGCCAAAATGCTAATAATTTTTACTTTGACCTGACCTGTGACGTCATCGGTGACCTCGAGGTCAATGAAATTAGGTTTCGCTCGACAGTTTTTCCGGGGCTATCAGACGCCGTTTGAATTTTGACGATCGGCCTAGTAGTTTTGGAGTTAGGAGGGGGGGGGGGGGCTATGAATAGCCCCCCCAGTAGGGCGTGTTATACGCAGACCCCAGTGGGGCGCGGGTTAACCGTTGACCTGAGGTCAATTTTGATAATGACCTTATCAAAAGAAGAGTTCAAAAACTATCGATTGCTTTTCCATGCGTTTTTCTAGCTATCATAGTTCCTGAGATAACTGCATGTTTTCTGAAAAATATAATGACATTTGGCAGAGTTTTACCTTTGATGACCTCCGGTGACCCCAATATTGCTCTAAAATGAAAAATCACCGAATTACTTTCAAACGTACGCATTGATAGCTATCAACTGCTTTTTACCGCGTCTTTCTCCCTCTTAGTTTTTGAGTTAGATAGAGGTGGGTGGTAACATATGCCCCCCCCCCCTCCCACTAGGGCGAAGTTGGCCGAGACCGCCACTGCAGGGGCGCGGGTTAAACTGCACAGCAGCACGTAAATAATCGAAATCCGATAAGTTTTTTTTCTGGGGCTTGGAGGAACTTTTTCCGCCAGTGATCGTAACGTTATGTAGTCGAATCCGGTTAATTCACTGTTTCTATCCTAAATGTGACCACCCGTCTTATGTCTAGTGTCACCCGTTAGAAAACACAGCTTTGTTTTAACAACCGCTATTAAAATTTACATAAAAGTTGAATATAACTGACAAATAGAGCCACTGCCTCGTCGATTTCGCATTACAACTAGTTCCGTTGCAACACACCTAGTTCCGTTGCAAAGTAACTAGGTAGTTTACAACGTACCTAGGTAGTTTGCATCCTAACTAGTTAGTTTGCAAACTAACTGGACGGTCAGTTAGTTTGCAACGGAACTAGTTTCGTTGCAAACTACCTGGCCGGTCAGGTAGTTTGCAACGAAACTAGTTGCGTTGCAAACTAACGGATTTCGCATACAAACTGTAACACATATATCGTTCGTTCGTTCGGTCAGAGGCAGCGTCGCACCCCACAGACTCGACCCTCGCTTCTGAGACACTCATTTATCTTGCTGCAGGCGAATGATAATGCCTACCCGTCGAGAACAGTCATCCTTTTTGCTATTCAACGTGAAAATCCTCGGCCCTCCCAGATGACAAGCTACAGGCACGAAATATATGGAGGCCTTAAACGTAATGATCAATCGGAATGATCTTTTTTTGCAGAGTCTGTTTTTAGGCTTCTCCTTAAGTTCAGTAAGTCAATAGCTACAGCATGAATTTAATAGGGGACAATCCCCAGCCGCGTATACATAAACTGCGCAGCTATTCTATCGCCTGAGTTGACGGTCGCAGCATTAGTTATAAATTTACTAAACATAAATGGAGTTGACGTATTGAACGGTGATCTGTTGACCTGGTGTGCTTACATACATGATTTGTAAGTGAAGGGATAAAGCATCGCTATTTAGTTCTGTCATGCAACGCCATTTACATGCAGCAAGGCGCATGTAATGTAATTTACATGCGGCAAGGCGCGGCAAGGCGCATGTATGTGTTCTCTCTCTCTCTCTCTCTCTCTCTCTCTCTCTCTCTCTCTCTCTCTCTCTCTCTCTCTCTCCCATGTTTAGGTATGTGTATGATCTGAGCATTCATAGCGAAGCATGTCAGCCGTCACTCTGAGCCGCCCGGCGCGGGTCGTCAATCATTGGCCGTCAGCCGTCACCGGGAGCAGCTGACAGACGACCGACCGCCTCCCCTCCTGTGACGGCACGCGTCACGTCGCATTACTGACGTGCCGGGAAGTGCGTCACGTCACATTACTGACATCTCGGGCAGCGTTCCTCGCAGACGCACCATCGTAATTTTCCTATCTTGTGCTCGTGAAAACAACATCGGTTTCCGAAATGAAGCCATTGAACTTACGATTCGGTATCACTCATAACATTTGGGGTGCAGCATACCTGAAGTAGAGAGATGACAATTAATTTCACCAGAGATATAATCATTAGTACGACAACTTACAGTTGCCGTTTCAATCTGTTGGTATGGGTTTGTGGTTCTCAGTCTCACGCTGCGATATGGACTTTGCAGCGATTTGTCCTGTCAGCTGTAACAACCCACCCGGCGCCAGCGCTGGCTTACCCGTCCCCCATCCCTGTGCCAACTGATGAGTTACCTTCCCTCTTCATGTGAGGAGCTCTCCTCTCTGTGACGAACTGTCCTCTCCCTGTGAGGAGCTGTCTCCCTGTGGCCTGTTACCCTGCGGCTGAAATGGCCTCTCTGACTCGCTGCTATGGACTGCCTATCGATGTTATCTGCAGTAGATGTTCGGGGTTGTACAAACAGGCTAATGAAGACAGCGGATATTTGCCGATGCTGGATAATGTCATGGATATCCTGCTGGGTAAACCCCTTGAGCAGAGATCCATGTCACCGTCTTTGTCTTTTCACTTATCGTCTAAGGTTGGAACATATTATGTTCTATCGTAGACCTCTGCATACCACGGTATACAGATTCCTTTGACAATGAAATTAAAAGATCGATTTAGACGAGTCGTTGGGAGCTAATAATTATCATTGATATTTTCATTTCCATTAGCCAGCCAAATAGGCTCTCTTTGTCTTTTATTTAGAAGAATGAGTTTAAATAATATCACATGACTGCCTATCAAACATTAGAGTAATGAATACGACGCGTCATTTGTTCCAGCTCCCGAGGGTCAGGTCATCGAGATTGACTTCCGGGACAAGTTTCATCTGGAGCCTAGCCCCAAGTGCGAGAATGACTACCTTTTGGTGAGTTTTCTACGCATACTGGCTCGATATGCATGGCATGCGACAAACCATAGCCAAGCGCCGGGCCCAATAGAAAGTTGCGAACCGTTGGATATATGATGTATGTTTTTGTGTTATATCTCTTGCACATCATACATGCAATAAGCCGACGACACAGGCATCTCCCTCACGTCAGTACAAGTATCCACCGATTCATTCCTGCTGCATGACGGCTGAGCACACCACGCTCGGTGCCGCTGCCGGGGAGGGGGGGGGGACGTCAGGACCTGCTCTGGCAGACCCTCCCTCTGACTGGGCCGGTTCTGGAAGACCCTCCCTCTGACTGGTCCGGTTCTGGACAGCCCCTCCCTCTGACCAGGCCGGTTCTGGCAGACCCTCCCTCTGACTGGGCCGGTTCTGGACAGACCCTCCCTCTCACTGGTCCGGTTCTGGACAGACCCTCCCTCTGACTGGTCCAGTTCTGGACAGACCCTCCCTCTGACTGGTCCGGTTCCGGACAGCCCTCCCTCTGACTGGTCCGGTTCTGGACAGCTCTCCCTCTCACTGGTCCGGTTCTGGCAGACCCTTCCTCTGACTGGGCCGGTTCTGGACAGACCCTCCCTCTGACTGGTCCGGTTCCGGACAGACCTCCCTCTCGTTTGACCGGGCCGGTTCTGGACAGCCCTCCCTCTCACTGGTCCGGTTCTGGACAGACCCTCCCTCTGACTGGTCCGGTTCTGGACAGCCCCTCCCTCTGACCAGGCCGGTTCTGGCAGACCCTCCCTCTGACTGGGCCGGTTCTGGACAGACCCTCCCTCTGACTGGTCCGGTTCCGGACAGACCCTCCCTCTGACTGGTCCGGTTCTGGACAGCCCCTCCCTCTGACCAGGCCGGTTCTGGCAGACCCTCCCTCTGACTGGGCCGGTTCTGGACAGACCCTCCCTCTGACTGGTCCGGTTCCGGACAGACCCTCCCTCTGACTGGTTCGGTTCTGGCAGACCCTCCCTCTCGTCTGACGGGGCCGGTTCTGGACAGCCCTCCCTCTGACCGTGCCGGTTCTGGACAGCCCGCCCTCTGACCGTGCCGGTTCTGGACAGACCCTCCCTCTCGTCTGACCGGGCCGGTTCCGGACAGCCCCTCCCTCTCGTCTGACCGGGCCGGTTCTGGACAGACCCTCCCTCTCGTCTGACCGGGCCGGTTCTGGACAGACCTCCCTCTCGTCTGACCGGGCCGGTTCTGGACAGCCCTCCCTCTCGTCTGACCGGGCCGGTTCTGGACAGCCCTCCCTCTCGTCTGACCGGGCCGGCCGCCGATCGATAGCCGGCGTCATTACGCGACGGCCCGCTTCCGGAGACGGCGCTTGTGACCGCACAGCCGTCCCGCCGGAGTGTCGTCCACAGCCGTCCCGCCGGAGTGTCGTCCACAGTCGTCCCACCGGAGAGTGTCGTCCACAGTCGTCCCGCCGGAGTGTCGTCCACAGTCGCCCCACCGGAGAGTGTCGTCCACAGCCGTCCCGCCGGAGTGTCGTCCACAGTCGCCCCACCGGAGAGTGTCGTCCACAGCCGTCCCGCCGGAGTGTCGTCCACAGTCGTCCCGCCGGAGAGTGTCGTCCACAGTCGCCCCACCGGAGAGTGTCGTCCACAGTCGTCCCGCCGGAGTGTCGTCCACAGTCGTCCCGCCGGAGTGTCGTCCACAGTCGTCCCGCCGGAGTGTCGTCCACAGTCGCCCCACCGGAGAGTGTCGTCCACAGTCGCCCCACCGGAGAGTGTCGTCCACAGTCGTCCCACCGGAGAGTGTCGTCCACAGTCGCCCCACCGGAGAGTGTCGTCCACAGTCGTCTGATTGGAGACTATAGTCCACAGTCGTCCCATCGGAGTCTATAATCCACAGTGGAACGACTGTGGATTATAGTCTCCGATGCGACGACTGTTGACTATACTATCCGGTGGGACGGCTGTGGACTAGTCTCCGGTGGCACGGACTGACTATACTCTCCGGTGGGACGACTGTTGACTCTACTATCCGGTGGGACGGCTGTGGACTATAGTCTCCGATGGGACGACTGTTGACTATCCATCCCACTGGGGAGTATAGTTTTCAGTCCGTCCCACCGGAGACTAGTCCACAGTCCGTCTAGCCGGAGAGTTTAGTCAGTCCGTCCCACCGGATAGTGTAGTCCACAGTTCGTCCCATCGGAGAGTGTAGTTCTCAGCCCATACCACCGGACAGTACATATAGGCGGTCCTTAGCCTGTCCCCCTGGAGAGTATAGTCCTCAGGCTCTGCCGCCGTTCAGCCCGGTCCATCAGTTCCTGACCTGCTACTTGCGGCGGCTACTACAGCAGCAGCTCTCCTCTCCGCCTGCCGTTGGGGGGAGGGGGCGGCTGGCCTGCGGTATCGGTCAGACGGATGGGCCGCCGGGCCGACCTGACACAGCTAGGGGCCGCCCTACACCTGGTCCCAGTCACCGGGACAAACACCAGAGCAGTCGCGTCACTCGCCAGCTGCTGATCGGCCCCGTCCCACCGGCCGGCCGCTCTCCATCACCGGGCTATTTTTAGAGTCACGTAGCGGTGAAATAGGCCGTGAAATCTAGCGTATTCATTACATGCAGAGACGGTTGCTAAGCAAGGTTCATGGTATTGTTCTAAGTCTGGGAGCTGCGGTTCTGCGATGGCCGCGCTGTGTGTTTCCCTGCGGGCTGACCAGCCGCCGTCGGGCCGCCGCAGATCCGGGACGGCAGGGAGGCCTACAGCCCGGCCATCCGCCGGTCGTGCGGCAACGCTTTCCCCCGGCTGGTCACCTCGTCCAGCCGACACCTGTGGCTCAGCTTTCAGTCCGACGAGACCATCGAGTACGACGGCTTCAAGGCCGTGTACGCCTTCAAACCAGCTCAGGGTGAGTGGTAGAAAAGGCCTTGCACGCCTTCAAGCCTGCCCAGGGTAAGTGGTGCATAGACCGGTATTTGCACTCACCTCGCCCGAGACAGAGTGTGAGGCAGCTTCGACCGACATCGAACGACCTCTGTCTTTGAATTCCTCATATCGTAGCGTTCGTATTAGTCAGAACTGAGCTAAAGTTTGTCTCAATGATGGAATACCTATGCTGGCCAAGCGTTCAAATGTTATGTGACGCCAAATGACCTTCTAGATATAACGCTCTCCGCTTCTGGTCGGGGTAATAGCGGTACATTGACTAATTTTAAGGTCACTTAGCGTCGCGTGCACCGTGAATTTCATTATTAGAACGGGAGGGAGAATCAGCCGCCCGTCTGTGTCCGATTTCAGTTCAGCTGCAGCCGCCGAGGTGTCGTTTTGAGCTGACCGGACCGGAGGCCATCATCTCCACGGACAACATAACGGAGGAGTCAGTGGCGTACGCCGAGCGGAACCGACTGCCGATCGACTGCACCTGGCGCGTCACAGTCACTCCCGGAAAGGAGGTCAGAGACCAGTTCAACTATCTCTATAGATGATCAAATAATCTTTTACTTATTAAAACGGTTGTTTTTAAACGTTTAGTTATTTGAATGCGCCCGGTCTATGGCCTACACAATTTACCTTCTTAGAAAATATCGAAATAATTAAATATCCAGTCATCGAAGACATTGGGTGAACAAATTAATAGCTTCAACCGGCTGACATAAGTATATGTAAATAATGCTGTTAATTAAACGGTCTTTCAAACATTTATTTACACTTGTCGCAAAATATGATCGAGGGACCGTATCAAAGCGGCGTATAAATAATGGCTCCACGTTAGATGTTTGGCGCGGGTAACAGTTTTGCGGACTGCGCAGGGTAAACGTTTACGAGCATAATTCAGACGTTTGTGTAAGGTTACAGAGGATCGGCCTCCGCTGTTTCCACAGATTCAGGTATACTTCAAGCAGTTCTCGCTGGCCAAGCCCAATGAGTGCGAGCTGAATTTCGTGGAGATTCTGAGCGGCCCCGAGCTGCTGCTGCGGCGCAAACAGCACTTCTGCAGCAGCAAGGCCGAGTCGGTCAAGATGGGACAGGACAACGACGTCACGTTCCGGTTCTATGCCGCCCGCTCGTCGCTGGTCAGCGCCAAGACCCGCATCCTGGCCGTCATCACCGAGATGCGGCTGCGCTCCAGCGAAGGTAGCACACGCCGACCGGGATGGTAACTGGGCGGTTTGGGAAGCCCTGATACAGAGCCGCATAAAAGATGTGTCAGACACTGACATGGCTGCCGCGGGGACCCCTAATCCGCATGCCGATAGCCAAACGGGCAATGGACCCTGATGAATGGACATGGTTAACCAAAGTGACTAGGTTCGTCTGCCGTCCATGGTCTCTATAGGTATATTGAGTTAGTTACTCATTGACCCTCTGATATCGTGTGTTTGCACAGTGAAGGAAAGTGCACAGGTCACTGTCGGACAGCCTAAAGACAGTCTGCCTCAGCGTGAGTCACCTGCCGTGCCGTGTTTCAGAGCAGTGTCTGGTCTGTTGCGTGAGTCGCCTGCCGTGCCGTGTTTCAGAGCAGTGTCTGGCCTGTTGCGTGAGTCGCCTGCCGTGCCGTGTTTCAGAACAGTGTCTGCCGACCGAGTTCGACTGCGACGACCTATACTGCATCAACCGCTCGCTGGTCTGCAACGGCAACTTCAACTGCGACAAGCTGCTCGACGAGAAGGCCGACTGCGACAGGACGAGCGAGCAGCACGCGCTGGCGTTCCTCACCACCAACTCCAACATCGTCATCATGACCATCGGCTGCGGCCTGCTCTTCGGCATGTGCTTCTCCATGTGCTGGAACTGCATCCGCAAACTCAGGCAGGACTTCAGAGAAAAGCAGGCAAGTCGGGGCGCCAGTTATGCGATTATACAGAAAACGAGAACAAATATAGCTGGTAGCGCTGCCAAGTCGATCACCAGTTCCTAACTGACGAATGTTACGTATAGGTACTTTCCCCTGCTCCGACTGACGATCACGATGGTACGAAATGTGCACCTTACTATCTATAGGAGCCGTGCATTTTCGTGTTCGGGCGACTTGTTTTACCGTTATACTTTTATAACTCGTAGTTTGAAGCGTTCTTGGTTCGAAGAAAAAAATCGATTACTCCTGATCGTTATGAGCAGTGAGCCAGATACACTGCAAGCCCACTGTGATGGCTGACCCGACTGTGTGCCCTACCGCTGTCGGTTGGTGACGGCTGACGTGTGTGACTGTGTGTGCCTATTGGCAGTGGCTGTGAGGGCGGACGTGGTGGTGTAGGTATGACCCATTGGTGCCGGCTGACGCGGCTGTGTGTGCCCCACTGGTGCCGGCTGGTGGCGGCTGTGTGTGAGCTACTGGTGCCGGCTGGTGGCGGCTGACCTGTGTGGCTCTGCGCCGACAGGAGAGCGTCCGGCGGCCGCACGATGACGGCGCGCTGCTCCGGCCCGGCCGCGGCCGGCTCGCCGCCGACCCCGGCTGCTACGTGCCCAGTGTCGAGCTGAAGGCAGAGTTTCTGCCGTCGCCGGCGCTCAATGGCAGCCTGGGCAGCGGCGTCGGCATCGTCCGCGAGGAGACCGTCGACACCGACATCGACACGGCCGAGGTGGCCATCCAGACGCGGCCGCGCCTCGCCCGCGCCCCGGCCGTCTCGCGCTCCGCCTCGCGGACCTCGCGCGGCTCGCGGCACTCGCGGGACAGTGACGACAGCGACGGCTCGCCGCCGCCGCCGCCGCCACCGACGCGGAGCTGCCCGCACGGGCCGCCCATCAGCCCGTTCCCTGAGGACCACTACCGCGGCGCGCCGCCACCGCCGCCGCCGCCGCCGGGCGGAGGCCCGCTGTACGGCGGCTCACTGCACTGTGACCTGCACCGGCCGCGGACACTGCCCAAGGCGCGCTCCGTGCACGCCGGGGTGGAGGTGCCGGGGAGAGGGGAGGAGGGCTGCTCAGGCCGCGCCACGCCGCGCCGGTACCGCGCAGAGGCCGTCATCGAGATGGGAACGCGGCCGCACAGTCTGCAGTCGGCCCGTTCCGCACCAGACGTGGTGGTGAAAATCTGACCCGGCGTCGGCTGACGGGTGTGGTGCAGGACAGGGACAGGGTACAACGCACACAGCGGGACACGGAGCGGCAGACCGGCCAGTGGCTTCCTCTGGTACTGCGGTGGGGATGTGGTGAGCCCTCTGGTGCCGTGTGGCGGTCCCTCTGGTGTCATGGGGTGGGCCATCCGGTGCCGTGCTGAGGGTACAGGTGACCCCTCCAGTGCCGCGGTGAGGTACCTACTGTGTCGCTTGTCGAGGGTCCCCACGCCCGTCCGTGTGAATCGTGAGCGCTGCCTGTATATCGAGCGATGTCCATGGAAGTCGTGAGCAATGTCCGTGTGACTGGCGAGCGTCTGCGGCGCCCGGACCCATTTCACAGAGTGTGAGCCCCGAGCCACGGACAGTGCCCAATGGGCCCGAGGGACGGCTGGCCGGCCTCAAAGGGAGCAGTGGTGTACTCCTGGTTGGCAGGGAGCCGGCCTGGAGACCCTCTTGGCGAGGGTGTGATTGGTGACCACAGTCCGACGGTAAGGCCGTGGTAGCTGCCTGAAACGCAGCGTGGGACGCACAAACTGCATATGAGGTGTCATCGGACGATATTAGACATTGTTTTTGCGCCGCACCCAGTCCCTCCGTTCGTTGGGAATAGGCACTTAACCTCCTCCATCCTGTTAACAACTGAATGGCGGCCCAGCCTGAGTCGGTGCTATATTTGCAATATGGATCATTGCTCGTTAGCTACTGCCGTGAATCGGAGGCGTTCACCTTCGGATCCTAGGAGGGGGAACGGGAGCGGATGCAAATTATACAAACGTCTAAATTGTCGAGCTATATTTTTCGGCATATCCTGGTGCCTATTTCTGTCATTGACTTTTATTTCATCTTCGTGATCACGTATAGGATCAGAGACCTTTTTTCGCATACGCCAACGAAGTGTTAGCTATGCCTGTGTGCTAGCGTATCATTTTCGTATCATGCGATCATAGTTCATCACAGTGCCTGAACTTATAGATCTGCTTTAGGTATTGTTTATCCTACTTGAGAACGATAGAGCGATGACAACCTACACTGATGATTCTACCTCATTTATGCTGTTTTGCTTCAATGTGTGCCTTTATGTTTTTATTTTATTTCGCCAACGCCATCCCTTTTATCAGACCTCAGCGCAGTGGCTTTAAATGTGTTAGAATGCTTGGCTCTTCGACGGTATCAGACATGCTAAGTTTTTACCTCAGCTATCTGATTATTACACAAGTTCCTGACAGATCTGCGAGGCTCATCAGCCTTGTTTCCTGCTCGTCCTCGCGTTTGTTTGTATCACCTGAACACAAGCGATTGACCGACAATCTACAGAGTGTCTGCTAGCATGAACATTAAGTACCATTGACGAACAATAAAAACACGTTCATAGGTCATGCGATTTGAAAAAGATGTGAAGTGCTGAGTGGCTTTTAGTATATGCATATCAGAACGTGCCAGCTGCTCTAGACGTGTAAAGAGAGACAGCCTCCTGCCCATGCAGGATGATAATCACTGCCGATGAGGGCAGGCATGTTTGCACTGCGTCCAGTCACTAAAAGAACTAAACGAGTTCTGGTATCCTTACAGCTCCGGTTCGCTTTTCCAGCACCCAAAACGCTACCACCGTTCCGGAATCGGCTCATAGTGTATTGCATTAAATATTGCATAGTGAATTACTATAACAATGACTGGAACAGCAAACAGCGTCAAATGACGGTCGAAAACATGCGTGAGGTTGGCAGTTATCACCGTTAAAAGCGTCAAATAAATGAAAATGTCCGAATAAATTACCAGAACGGAACGAGTGCGAAACAAAGTGACATTTTAACACCATTTATTCTATGAGCCGTTCACGCTTCCCCGATACCAAAAACAAACGTGTCCACAGACACGCCGAGAACAGAAAGCATCTTCTTTGTACGAAAACCTGACAGAAGATGAGTCGCAGGGTAATGGGTGGCTGGTCCGTCGCCTGGGCCCCCGGCCGGTCGCCGTGTGAAGGCGCTCGGCCGGGGGCCCGTCAGCCAGCGGGCGGCAGGCACAGCGGCACGCCGCGCCGCACGCCGGCCCGGCCCGCTGACGGCCGGCGCGGCGCGGCCGTCACCGGCGCCGGCGGCCGACCGGAGCCGCGGCCGGGCCCCGGCCCGCCGCCGGCCCCCTCCTCCAGCACCACCAGCTCGTAGCCGTCCTCATAGGCGGCGCAGGCCGGCCTAGTTGCGGCCCTTCCGCTGGCGAGGCGACTGCCGCGGGCTGTTCTTAGGACTGGAGCCTGAAACGGGACACGGAGCGGGTCACTCGGCGTGTCCGAGGAGAGCGCAGTTCACGCTACATCGTCAACTGTGAACAGCACTTCAAAGGGTACAATACAGGCGCACGACCAGTCGCTTTGACAATTGCAAAACAACTTTGTTCAAAAATCGAAACACTTCGATTAGAGTGGAATAATACAAAAAAGTGACGACGCAGTATGTTGACTAATTACGTTTCCGCTCGCTGCCCGCCCCGTGTATCGGTCGGCCGGCGCCCGGACTCACTCTGCAGGGCGCTCTGGGGCAACCAGTCATAATCCACACCGCCGTTGTCCGCTGTTCCGCGCTCAACAGTTGTGTGGCGGCCCCTTTTCCGGCGGCCGAAGCCGGCCAGAAACTGCTGTCCGGCCACCAGCACGAGCACGCAGAGCGCCGCCAGGAACACGTACAGGAAGAACGTCTCGCCGTCCAGTCCCTCGTCCACCTCCACGATGTTGACCGTCTCGTTGAACACGGCGCTGACGAACTGGCGGCCCGCCTGCGGAGGGGCAGTCCAGCGGTGAGCGCGTTATCTCACACGAAATAATACGGGGAACGGCACGGAGGGACCCAGCAGCAAAAAATACCTCGTCTTCGCACATTTTCGGGGCTAGCCTCTGATGGTGTATGGTTTTGAATGTCTGAGACGCTTATAGTGGCACAAATCATTGTTTTTCCCTCATATTTTGCTGAACTCTGTAAATCTGTTTTACTTACAATCCCATTATGGACATTCGAATAATTTTTTATTCATTTCGATATAATTGAAATGAGAAAATTTTTGTAAATTTAATTAGTGCATTTTACTTGCAAGATGAGATTTGTTGAAGTGCATCAAGAAACGACCAACGGCAGAAAAAATATAACACTGTTCATGTTTTGCCTAGGAATGTAATTTAAACGGCATTCTTCGAAAAGAGACGAAAAACGCCTCTTCTCAAAGCGTAAGCAGCTCTGCTTGATAGGATACATTGCAAATGCCTGTCGAGGCATGTCTGTCCAGACAGGCTCCCCGGGAGCTGCTGGACGGCGGCGGTGCCGCTCCCGTCCCCCTGTCCGTCCCTCAGGTACCTATCCTGTCCGTCCCTCGGGCGCACCTTGTCCTTGTAGGCGCAGTTGATCTGCAGGCCGAACGGCCGGGCGGCGAACGCGTCAGCCACGATGAACGAGTACGAGATGGTGGCCTGCTGGCGCGGCTTCACCGAGCGGAAGTAGCCGATCGCCGAGAAGTTCTGGATCACGTAACTGCGGAAGCGACGACAGTGACGCACAGTTGGTAAAACGGACAAAACGACGGCATTGGTACGATCTGCTGGCTAGGACATTAATTTGAATTGCTTTATTAAACACTTGCCGTAAAAACATTGACTGAATAGCGTCTTTCATGTATGTTATTGAATTTTAAATTTGAAACACCCTGAGAAAAAGCAACCTCCAGAGAAGCTAAAACCTATAATAATTTGTAACGTAGGCATTAAATAATATTGAGCAAGCAAGCAAGCAAGAGTTGTCTGATCCATGCCAGTGCTTACACACAGCGTACGGTAGGTAAATCCCATTGCTCACTTGAAATCCTGCGGGTAGCGGAAGGAGGCGTCCACAGACTCCACGAGGAAGTCGTCCGATCCCTTGTTGGTGAATCCGACCAGAAACTCGACCAGCTTGCCGGCGGGCAGCTCTGCGGGAGGGCGAGACGTCAGCAGCCGAACTCGCAACACGCAGAGTCCAAATAACGGCCTGCAATCGTCAACTAAGAAATGTGTACTTGTCACCCAAATAAAAGGTGAACGCTGAACTAATTAGAAATAAAGAGCATTAACCCTCGCCCGTATTGGTGTTTTTTCCAGCCGGGAACGCTTAAGGAGAAGGGGGGGGTCCGTTGGACCCCCCCCCTTCCCCTTGCCGTTTCGCCCCGGATCGAGCTAGAGCTTCGCGGAATAAACGAGCGTGTTGCCCGTGACGAGAGGAAGCCGATGATACCCAATTTTAAGGTCCTAGGTCATTGGTTGACCTTCCAGGTCAGGTCAATGACCCAAAAGTCGGAAAATCGGGACCTGTTAGAACGTCATAAAGTGTGGCTTCAAATATTTTTTCGGGGTGCTGATCACGAACATCGTGTTAGTTTTGATTACAGATGATGTCTTTAAGTATTGAGACCAGGTCGGGTCAGGTCAGGTCAACCAATAGGGGTCGTGACGGGTATTCGTAGCACGTGTCAACCGCCTCTGACAGCTTCGTAACATGTTACGAAGGCAACAAAACTACCTACTACGTAAATGTTCAAATGGTTTCTAAATTCGAATTCAGCTCCAAAAACTAGCCTAGAAACATGCAAAACTCGAAAAAGTGAACCGAGGTCATCAAAGGTCAATGACCTGACCTGACCTTCAGATGACCTTGACACCCACCCTAATGCATGGGGGCAACATCATATCACATGTTTGAACGCTTGAAACCACGAAAAGAATGCAAAAGCGCGGCTAATGCGAGCCGACATACGCCGAATCGCGATTCCGGCCAAACATGATCTCGAAAACTAGGTCACAGGTCAAAGGTCATTTGGGTCAGGGTCATGAAATTTTCAGGGTAGGTGTAAAATTCATTAACCCGAGGGTACTGAAAGTTTCGTCGCGATCGGCCCCTTTTTACGCGAGTTATTTGCGAAAAACCGAGGGAGGGTCCGTTCGCCCCCCCCCCCCCTATACGGGCGAGGGTTAAAATCACAAGGACACCAGTTTGCTTGACCAGTTTTGGCAGGCGTGAGACCCATAAGAGACCTGAAATGGCAGCTAAAAGCTGCAGAAAGAATTTCTTTCAGAACAAGCAGCGGTAGCAGGCACACATGCAGCCATTGCGAGTCGCCGGCGGCGGTTAGCGCGGTGCTCCGACGCACGCACCCATGGCTCCGGGCGCGGCGGCCACGTCAGGTCGCACGAACAGGATGGTGGTGTCGGCGTTGGGCGAGGCCTTCGGGATGCCGTCGTCCTCCTCCTCCTCTGCGTCCGCCACGTCACCGGTCTCGGCTGGAACAGGGCGATAACAGCGCCGTGACGGGGAACGCTGTGCCCATTTGTACTGGTATTTGGGGATAAATATATGCGCACTTAATTCAAATCAATGAAAATAACTCACAATTTCCTCACAAAGAACTAAAAGTCAGAAATGAACATGATATGGGGTTTGGCTCCAGAAAAATAAATGGATGGAAAATGAACAAAACATAAAACATCTTCAAATTACCCACACTTGTCGCCACTACCAGCTGTAAAACACTGTAATACAAATACAAATTTAGCATACAATTACCTTCATCACCATCAACATCCACGTCCTCATCAGCTGCGTCCTCTTGAATGTCATCCTCTGCCCGGGCAATGGGCAGGGAACCTGAAAAGAGGAGCAGGTGTGTTAAAACTCCAGCAAAAAATCACTATCAACTTTAACACAACATTCAATGCTGATCCAGATTGAGTCAGTAAGGGCCCAGCATAAGTGCCAGAACTTGTCAGCATAAGTGAAGAAGAGACCTGAAGATAATTTTTTTCATAGAACTTATCTACAATTTCATTGAACTATTTTTACTTTTGCTAGAAATCATCCAACAATGACCATCATCTTGTCAGTCTTGAAAATAGGCACCTAGTGGCTAGTGCCAAAACATATTATCAGAGAAGGCTGAACAGAGTGACAAAATAAGGAATTATATGCTTAAGTTAACTTTATTGGTACCAAATGACTAAAATATAAATCAAACTCAGCTACATTTTCTATATGTTCTTAATTCTGGTATAAATTTACAACATATTGATACATTGATTAGCTACTGATTTTAATAGAAGTAAACCAGGCATCATACTTGTTTTTTGTTTTTTGCAACCAAGAAGAAGCGCTGTAGGTTAGGCTGTAGGTTGTAGGTTATAGGTGGTAGGTTTAAGTTTTTTTAGTTTTTAGGTTGTAGGTTTTAAGTTTGAAATTGTAGGTTGTAAGTAAGGTTAGATCAGGTTTGGTTAGATTTGGTTTGATTAGAAAGCAGCTATGGGTATAGTGCCTCTCCTTCTCACCTTGATTGCAAAAAACAAGTGTGACACCTGTTTTACGGCTACACTGATTTCCACTAACATATGTAAGGAAATACATGTAAGCATATGATAATAAATATATAGTAAATATATGAAAATATGTCATAGCTTATTATACATAAAAGGTAAAATTTGAGAAAAAAATGGTACAGTGTCTTGAGTCTTCTTTGAAGATTGACTCATATTGTGTAAATGGAGGTAGGTAGTTAGGTCGCAGGAAACTAGCACACGAACGGAAGCTTAAAATTATCAGCAACACAACTCCTGCACATTTTTAGCATGGAGCTCAGCATTTCTTTTATATTTTTCATTTCAGCACTACATCCAAATAAACAGCTCTAACTATCAATTAGTTCAGGAAAAGCAGGCTTTGACATGACAAACTAATATCCATTGCTCTTCACACATCATTTTATGGGGTACCCAATTAATGTTTTTTTTTTTAGATAGATAGATAGATAGATTTGTATTCCAGACTAACAGTCCATTGCTATGAGTTGATGATGGATGTACCACTATGGATGATGGATGAACAACAACAAACATCGATTAAGGCACACTCCCAGTCGATGCACATTCACTGTAGCACAGCATGACAATAGAGCTTACTGAGCCAAAAACGTTTCAGTTTTGATCTGAAACGGAGATCCCCTGAATTGATTGGCTTGATCCCCTGAAGGCTTGTTTCAAACTCATCGATTGTTACCTATATGATATACCTACCTACCTATATGAGGTACGCGAAATACAAGCAAAACAGCGAAACATTTACATAAACAAAGTTATGAATCTATGATGGTGATGCCACGTCGACTTATGTAAACTTTACCAGAAGGAGAAGCGACGAAAAGCACTGCAGGTAGGACCAGCACAGTCAGACATAGCAACTGACTTAAATTACACTTCATGTTTAACTATTTTTTATTTTAAAACCCGGCTTCAATGTATGTTTGTCCGAAAGACAACAACCCGTCACAGTCAAGCCCGGCTGCTAAATCGTCTGCGATGCTCCACAATCGTGCTCACACATCTGGCAAATTATCAGTGGCATACCATATTCTAGTTTTAAAAAACATTTTCCATCTAGATAATGGAAAACAAAATCATTGTATTTCAATAACATACAAAAGCTATTTTTCATATTTGTCTGCTTTGTTTTAAAACGAAACGAATTGTAGGAAAAATTGAAACTATTTCCTACAACTTAAACGTTGACCTGAATATACTAAAAGCCTATCAGCTACTATATACTACCAAGCCTGCCAGCACGTCAGCGGCCACGTTCGTTGCGACGCGGCCGCCGGGTACGTTCTCTGACAAGTGCAAGTGAGAGGCCCACGGCCACGGGGCAGCGAAGCCGAAGCCGACAGCGCCGGGTCCGCTGCGGTCGCCGTCCTCTCACTTTCGATAAGATTTTTATCGCTTTTTTTAAAGACAAATGTGTTATACGATTACGGTCTATGGTAGCACACATCAACTAAATAAAAACTCGCCTATGGGTAAGGGCATAGGTGTAGGAACGTTTTCGAAAGTGGGGGGGCCAGGCTCCCAGAGGCTCAAAACCTCACCTACCCCCAAAATCCATTTTCTCCTCGGATTTCGGCCACTTTATTTTCGCAAGCATGCTCAAATCGGTTAAAAAAAGTGACAAGAAAAAAAAATCGACCAAAATCTCAGGGAGACTCCCGTCCAGATTTAAATCTCATGGACGCGTCCCCCTGGCCTCCGCAGCCGCGTTGGCACCAGGAGCGGATCCAGGAGAACTCCAAGGGGAGGGTCATGAATCGAAGTAGTGCCCCTACCTAAAGGTACCCAAAATTAAAACCTCAACGGATTTCGGCCACTTAACCCGGCACCGCCTGGGCTATTTCCGTACCCACGACAGCCTGGGGGGGGGGGTCGGATCCGACCCCCCCCCCCCTGTTATCTCGAGAACCAATGGTCGTATCGAGCCCCGCGAGGCGGCGTTCGAAAGGTCTCTACGAGACCTTCCCAAAGCACTCTTAAGATTTTAAGATTGAGGTCAACTTTCGGGTCAAGGTCAGGTCAAAGGTCAAATTCAGGGGTTTGCATGATTAGGCTTACGGACAGCAGAATCGATAGCTGCTGCTCGAAACTCACCAAAAATGACCTCAAAGGCCTAGTGAAGGTACCATGTGCGTATAGGGGTCATACTAAGTACGGGTCAAGGTCAGGTCAGGTCACGAAAGGTCACGGTTTTCACTATCTGCTACATAGGCGTGCGACACATGTTTTATGGCTTATTTTTCACGCCGAATCCGATGATAATGGTTATATGTGACCCCAAGTCACTGTGCTGGTGATAAGTGTGCATTGAAAGCATAGAAAATCGTTTATACCATACATAACTAAAGGAGGGCTGAGAAAAAATGTCAATTTTTCAACTTTTTATTTTTGACATAAAAATGCACTTTTCTAGACGAGCTTTGTCCCAGGAATCTAGTGGTGCCATTTGTTTTCACATGCGATGTTCAGAAGTGCCTCTAATTCACGAAAATGCTTATGACGTCACCATGCCCTATGCATGTTGGAGCTATTTTTTACAATTTGGGGGTCAAAAATCAAGATAGAAAGTTGAAATTTGGGGCATCTAATGTTCTTATAGAGCTCTACAACATATGTTCCGTTTTTTTTGAAATTCCCAAAATTTTGGATTTTATTAGCTGTTTCCCAAAAAATATAGTTTTTTGAATTTTTAGGGGTGAAAAATGCATTTTATGGAAAATCCGAGATAGCCATTTTAAAGAACTCGTTGAGCTGCGTCTTTTCATGTCCTTAATTAGCAATTTGCTTTAAACCCTGATTTTTGGCGATTTTTTAAACATTTACCACTTTTTGACTAAAAACGCCATGTAGTAACATCACTAAAATCGATATATCTCAAAAAATTTTGGAAATTTTTTCTTAAAAATTGCACAGGAGACGTCAAATTGATGGGGGAGAAGGTATGCCAAGTTTCAAGTAGATAGCGAAAGTGGTTCATGAGTTATTCAAGAAAAACCGAGGGGGGGGTCGGATCCGACCCCCCCCCAGGCGGTCGCGGGTTAATTTTGGTGGTGCCCTATTTTCTTTTCTTTTTTGCGCTGGCAGGCCTGTGGTGCCCCTGGCGGGCCTGTGGTGCCCCTGCTAGGCCGCAGGTGCCCCTGGCAGGTTTGTGGTGCCCCTGGAAGGACTGTGGTGCTTCTTACGAGCCTGAAGTGCCAGCGACAGGCCCATGGTGCCTCTGCGAGGCCGGTAGTGCCCCTGCGAGGCCGTGGTGCCCCTGCTAGGCCGCTGGTGCCCCTGGGCCCTGAAAGGACTGTGGTGCTCCTGACAAGCCTGAAGTGTCCCCGACAGGCACGTGATGCCCCTGACAGTCCCAGGGTGCCCGTGCGAGGCCAGTGGGTGCCCCTGGCAAGCCTGTGGTGCCCCTGGCAGGTCTGTGGTGCCCCTGGCAGACCTGTGGTGCCCCTGCTAGGCTTCTGGTGCCCCTGACAGGCCTGTGGTGCTCCTGAAGGGACTGTGGTGCCCCTGGGCCCTGACAAGCCTGAGGTGCCCCTGACAGGTCCGTGGTGCCCTTGACAGGCCCAAGGTGCCCCTGCGAGGCCGGTGGTGTCCCTGGAAGGCCTTTGGTGCCCCTGGAAGACCTGTGGTGCCCCTGACAGGTCTGTGGTGCCCTTGGCAGACCTGTGATGCTCTTGCTAGGCCGATGGTGCTCCTGACAGGCCGGTGGTGCCCCTGTCAGGTCTGTGGTGCCCGTGATAGGTCGGTGGTGCCCCTGGTAGGCCTGTAGTGCCCCCGGACCCCAAGGGGGCATGACCCATGTGACCCTACCTTGGATTAACGCCACTGGTTGGCACCCATGCGAATTCCAGAAGCATCCAAAAACTTTTTTATTACGAGCGAGCGTGAAACGTGAGAAGTGAAAAGTCAGCAAAAGGTGTGTGTGTGTGTGGGAGGGGGGGGGGCAGTTAACATTGCTGGCCCCCATTCGAAAGTGGGGGACCATGGCCCCTTGCCCCCCTGTTCCTACGCCTATGCCAGTAACCGATCAACTAATGCAAGGCCGCCTAACATAAGTTGTTAGTTTACGCCGTTTACGCATTCTGCTGCGCCAGTATTGTCTCTCTTTGCAGCGCGCGCTGCCCCTAAGCTGCCACTTATTGCTTCTAGCAAAATTTCCTTTCATTGGGTGGAGGAAAATTGCACTCAATAACGATGAAGCACAAATGGAAATCGTCATGGAAGGGCAGGCCGGAGAACTGTCAAGTTTGTTCTTTGGGGTGGTACCTACAAAAACATTAATGTTCGGCAAAAAGTGGGGGGGCCAGTTAACATTACTGGCCCCCCCACTATGAAAAGTGGGGGGGCCACCGGCCCCCCGTCCCCCCCGTTCCTACACCTATGGGTAAGGGCATGGTTGAAGGATGAAGGTAAGGGCATGACCCGACATGATGACATATCACATGACGTCTGCGCTTGGCAGTGATGGATCCAGAGGGGGGTCATGGGGGCCATGCCCTCCCCCTTGGGCCTCCCGGGGGGCACCATCACGCATAGGTGTAGGAACAGGGGGGGACGGGGGGCCGGTGGCCCCCCCCCACTTTTCATAGTGGGGGGGGGGCAGTAATGTTAACTGCCCCCCCCCCCACTTTTTGCCGAACTTTTTAATGTCTTTGTAGGTATCACCCCGAAGAAGAAACTTGACGGTTCTCCGGCATGCCCTTCCATGAAGATTTCCATTTGTGCTTCATCGTTATTGAGTGCAATTTTCCTCCACCCAATGAAAGGTAACTTTGTCAGAAGCAATAAGTGGCAGCTTAGGGGCAGCGCGCGCTGCAAAGAGAGACAATACTGGCGCAGCAGAATGCGTAAACGGCGTAAACTAACAATTTATGTTGGCGGCCTTGCATTAGTTGATCGGTTACTGGCATAGGCGTAGGAACAGGGGGGCAGGGGGCAATGGTCCCCCACTTTCGAATGGGGGCCAGCAATGTTAACTGCCCCCCCCCCACACACACCTTTTGCTGACTTTTCACTTCTCACGTTTCACGCTCGCTCGTAATAAAACATGTTTTTGGATGCTTCTGGAATTCGCATGGGTGCCAACCAGTGGCGGATCCAAGGTGGGGTCACATGGGTCATGCCCCCTTGGGGCCCGGGGGCACCACAGGCCTACCAGGGGCACCACCGACGTATCAGGGGCACTACAGAGCTGACAGGGGCACCACCGGCCTGTCAGGACACCATCGGCCTAGCAAGAGCCCCACTGGTCTGCCAGGGGCACCACAGACCTGTCAGGGGCACCACAGGTCTTCCAGGGGCACCAAAGGCCTTCCAGGGGCATCACCGGCCTCGCAGGGGCACCACCGGCCTCGCAGGGGCACCTTGGGCCTGTCAAGGGCACCACGGACCTGTCAGGGGCACCTCAGGCTTGTCAGGGCTCAGGGGCACCACAGCCCATTCAGGAGCACCACAGGCCTGTCAGGGGCACCAGAAGCCTAGCAGGGGCACCACAGGTCTGCCAGGGACACCACAGACCTGCCAGGGGCACCACAGGCTTGCCAGGGGCACCCACTGGCCTCGCAGGGGCACCTTGGGACTGTCAGGGGCATCACGTGCATCATGCCTGTCGGGGACACTTCATGCTTGTCAGGAGCACCACAGTCCTGTCAGGGCCCAGGGGCACCAGCGGCCTAGCAGGGGCACCACGGCCTCGCAGGGGCACCACCGGCCTCGCAGAGGCACCACCGGCCTCGCAGAGGCACCACCGGCCTCGCAGAGGCACCATGGGCCTGTCGCTGGCACTTCAGGCTCGTAAGGAGCACCACAGTCCTTCCAGGGGCTTTACAAACCTGCCAGGGGCACCTGCGGCCTAGCAGGGGCACCAAAGGTCCGCCAGGGGCACCACAGGCCTGCTAGGGCAAAAACAAATAAATAAAAAATGAAAATAGGGCACCACCAAAATTAAGTGGCCGAAATCAGTTGATGTTTTAATTTTGGGTATAGGTAGGGGCACTACTTCGATTCATGACCCTCCCATTGGAGTTTTCCTGGATCCGCTCCTGGTGCCAACGCGGCTGCGGAGGCCAGGGGGACGCGTCCATGAGAATTAATTTCTGGACGGGAGTTTCCGCGATATTTTGGTCGATTGTTGTCTTGTCACGTTTTTTTTTTAAACCAATTTGAGCATGCTTGCGAAAATAAAGTGGCCGAAATCCGAGGAGAAAATGGATTTTGGGGGTAGGTGAGGTTTTGTGCCTCTGGGAGCCTGGCCCCCCCACTTTCGAAAACGTTCCTACACCTATGCCATCACGGATGTTTTGTTTTTTAATTCATCACGGTGGTCACCGACGGGAGCTTCAACCCAGAGGTCTCCTAAGGGC